GGCTCGTCGACTAACATTGTGAGTCCCTCTTTCCTCGAAGTTTCACTTCGAAAATGGGGTTGTTACGAACCACCGGATGGTTTGGGGGTTCCAATATGAATCTCACGATTCTATATTCGATTTCGGGTTATGTTATAAACAAAATAAAAATAAAGAACTATTATATCAACTCTTCTCATGTGGTTTGACAATAAACGATGTAAGATTTTATCCTGAACTCGTTTGAAAGCTAAAACATAAGGGTGTGTTTGGCAGCTCTCCTTTAACCAGGCTAGTATCCGCCGATATGGTTAACAAGTTAAATCGTGTTTGACGAAAACTGAGTCAGAATCGACCCGTTTTTTCTAAAAGCTCATTTTTCTTCTTCTTAACCTTGTTAGAATTAAACCACTTCAATTAGGTCGACGGAGATTTGCCAAACTACTTAAGTTGAACAGCTAAAAACAAGTAGATCTAATCTATCACAACTCTGTAATGCAAATTTTTACCGCGTGATGTTGGATTGTTGTCATTCTGACTAAGTGAAAGCGAATGATGAGGTTCAGCGTTAATTTATGAGCAAATGTTTACGTAATGATGGTCAGATAATAGTATTTTTTAAGGGGTGACGCTACAGGCACACCCTCTGTCACACCTCCGGTCACACCCCCTCTCCCTCTACAGTACAGGGGGCCCACTTGAGATTTTTTAAAATCTCAGGTGGGGCCCCCTGCACTGTAGAGGGAGAGGGGGTGTGACCGGAGGTATGGTAGAGGGTGTGCCTGTAGTGTTTTTCTTTTTCAAGCCAGCAGCTCAATTAGATTTGAACTGTGCGTGCCTTGAGAATCTGTAGATAGGGGGGTTCTTTTTTATAGAGAAACCGCCTTCAAAACATGGTTTATCCTATAGAAAACATCTTTGATTTTTAGGTTATATATGAACCACATTTAAAGAGGTTTTTTGTTGTAGTCAAGGCTCACTTTTCAGCTAAATTTTTTTTGACATTGATCTCCCCTCACCTCCATCAACGATTCTCTCTAATATATTTGATATTTGACAACTAGTTATCACAGTGAAACCGTAAAAACTTTACTTCAAGATGAATGCAAGCGGTTGATTGCAAAAAAAAAAAAACAGCTTAAAGATGATTTATGTATAAATTAACAATCAATTGTGTTTTATGTAGAATGACCCCTATTTTAAAGATAATAATATATATCCATAAGTTTATCATTTATCAAAGATAAGATTTGCAGGATGACACCCATTATAAAATTAGACTATTACAATTTCAATATCGCTCTTGACAAATCCCTCGACATTCTCTAAACTTGTCCGGGTGTTGTGCAGATAATGGTGACCACCACGAGCTTGATGCTATTCGCCGGCCGATTCGGGCTCGCGCCGTCCGCAAACAGGAAGGCCACGGCGGGACTCAAGCTCGAAGTTCGCGACTCCGGCCTGCAGACCGGCGACCCCGCCGGGTTCACGCTGGCTGATACGCTAGCGTGCGGTACCGTCGGCCACATAATGGGGGTCGGGGTCGTCTTGGGGCTCAAGAACATGGGGATCCTATGAGCAGCTTGTGATGGCGTTCGGTAGTTTTTCCAATGTTTGTTGCGTCGCGTGTACATGTGTTGATTTTATGTGACGACGGAAATCATTCAGCGGTTATATACTGTTTCTATCCTCCTTTTATTCCGTTTTCTTTTTTATATTTTGTTTATGGGGTTCTTTTTTAGATATGAGTTCCTCAAGTCATAATATTGCCAATTGTTTCCGCAAATCCTAAGAGTTATTTCAAAATCAATTCCTCGAATCATTGCATGCTGTTTATCTAAAAATTACTGCAGATAACTGATCCTCATCAAACATTGATGATGAAAATTACAATCTGACGGCTTCCAGAAGATTACAATTTGAAAACTTTCACGTAGATCGATGAAAGTTCTAATTCAACAGCCTTCATAATCAACATCAGTAGTTACAATCTGATGACTCTCTTATTTTCAAGGAGTCAATACGAATGTTATAAGATAATGATCTTTACAACGCTCTAATAAAAGAGACTACAAATTAACGGTCTCTTCAAGTCAAAACGTAGATATCTCTCAAACCATAAGGAATTTGGCGAAACGAACGGGAGCAAAACCAACCCTAATGGTTGGTTTGATCGGCTTCGTCTCGTCGAGATAGTCGATTTTCATATATAATTCGTCCAATTCCGACATACGATTTGAAAGTTATGACCTGTTATTCGCAGCAAGTTATATTCTGAAGTCCGTCTGCAAGACTGGACTTCACCTGATGGACTTAGCCTGAAGCTCGCCAAACTCACCTGAGGCTCGCCTCTGCGTTCCAAAGTTAAAACACAAAGTTCATCTCTGCGTCCCAACAACAAAATGCGGAGTTCGTGGCTGCGTTCCAGAAACAAAACTTAGATTTCGTGGCTGCGTTCCAGACTCAAAACGCAGAGTTCGTGGCTTCGTTTCAGACTCAAAACGCAGAGTTCGTGGCTGCATTTTCAGGCTCAAATAAAGAGCCCAACTCATCGTTTCAAGTCACTCATAATTCGTGCCCAGAACGCAATTCTTGTGTTTGACTCGTTCAAACACGAGATGAACGATTTCAAAACAGTTTTTCACAATTTGAGAGGATCACTCCACCACTTATGAGCGAATTAATTGGGACAATTACACCCCTTAATCCCTTATAAATGGCGAAAAACTCAACTGAGTTCAGGATCTTCAATTGAATCAGCATTTTTGCATAGGAAGTCAATCTTTGGAGATCAATCTTTTTAGGGATCTAGATTTTGAAGATCGGCACTTGGAGATCTTGAAGCATTTTTTCAGTAAAAGAGATCTTGGAATTGTTATCCTTGCCTTATTAACCGATTTGCGGTTCAAATCAACTCTTTAACAGAGTTTTAAGCTCGTTCTGAATTTCTAAACTCGTCAAGAGTTATGTTCAACTTGCCGCGCAAGTTCTCCGCAACATCAAATCCGAGAAAAATAGACTTTATTCCAACATGGTGAAACGTCGGATCGTCAACGAGAAACAAACTCGACACAAGTTTCAAAGAAGACATCTCATCGACACCAAGAAGAACCCATGTTAAACAAAGAGAAGGATCTTCGTAATCCCTTCTCTCTTTTGTAAATTGACGGATCAAGAAGATTTGTAATTTCTTTTCTAAATCTGTTAGAAAAAAATTGTATCGAGAAAATTGTAATTAATCTTTTTTTCTGAGCCTGTCAAAAAGAATAAAACAAATTTAATTCTCAATTGTCTTTTTTGAATTTTCCCACCAAACACACGCTATTATGTTTTGTTACAGAGTAGTTCCTTTCCTTGAACATTAGGAAGATATGCGTTGTTCCAGATTAATCCCTCCTATCAAGAGAGCAGATACCAGCGCAAACCACTAGTTTACGGTATTTCATGCTAGCACACTTTGCAAACAGAAGACAACCTTGCTGGGTTTAGCCTCTGCTGATTCGTTGCCGTGCAGAACTGTTGGTCACAATGAGAAATCTGATAACTATTGTTAAGTAAAAAGTAAGGGAATTAAAACCAGTTTTCAAAATTGATGAGTTTTTTAACTTCTTATAACATACTTTATTTTTCTTAATAAATGATCTAACAACCATTGACATTTTCCCATAATTTTTCATAAAACCCTTTGTGATAATAACCCTCTTGAATTTCTTATAACATACTTGAAATTCAAAAGATCCGAAGAGTTTTTTTTCTCTTTCTTTTATGTTGAATAGCTGAGATAAATAATTTTTTTCCATAAAAAAAATTTCCTTTTATTTTAGTTAGTTAATTATTATTATTATTATTATTATACCAGCTATTTTCAGTTAGTTTAACTAAGAGCAAGTTGAAATTGTTTCAGCACTAAAAATGATTCAGTTAGTTTAACTAAGAGCAAGTTGAAATTGTTTCAGCACTAAAAATGATGGGAAATCTATTAGGAATTTGTAATGGTGTGTAAAAGCTTTCAAAGGACCCTGTATGATTTTCCTATTTCAACATATTTTCTCATTTCAAAAATAAATTGCAAAACATGCCTTTCTACTAGGAACCAAAATGATTAATAAGCGCATTGAGAGATATTAACGGAAATAATTTGAATTGACTATTGAAAAGAGCTGACAACAGAGCAGGTAAACAATTAGAACAGGTTTCATAGATGTTATGTTAGTCCCTTAAATGTAATAGTCCCTCAAATCTTTATGCTTTTGATATTAGGCCCTGAAATTGCGTGTAAACTATTAGCCCTTTGTGCTAACTTTTCAGTGTAAAATATATACAAACAGAAAGACAACCCTTGCGACAAAATATCCCTTCTATGTAAAGATCAAATGTGAAGTAAATCTCTATAACAATAGAATTACTCAAATGATGGAAGCCTCATCCACTCTATACACCATCAGATAGAAGAATTCATTAAATAAAGATAAATAATATATAATTGAATTTGTTTGGGATATTTTGTCATATGAATGTGTATATAACATAGCTATTTTCATTAAATATATTTTTATCTAGTTTTTATTTCATAAGATTTATAAATGCATAAATATTATATTATATAATAATTATATAAAGTGAATGTTATATTTCCATAGTCCAAACAGGTCTGCCAAAGCAAAACAATATGAAGCGATATAGCTCCAAGTGTGTTCTGTGCATGTTTAGGATGTGCTTAGTAAGTCCACAAAACTACTATTCCCGTGTGGACTGTGCATGTTTAGGGTGTGCTAAGTAAGCCCACAAAACTACCAGTCCCGTGTGGACAAATCACATCTATGCTTAACGCACGGGACTATACTTTTTGAGTTGCCTTGAGAAAACCCACGAAACTAATGGGCAATTAGGAGCCACTAAACATAAGGAACTAATAGTCTCATATGTTTCGGAGATCCTGTTTTACGAAAATGACCTATTTTTGGTCCGTCGCAAAAAAGATGTAGTTTTTGCTAAATAATCAACAAAACGATCGGTTTTTTACTAATTATTCACGCAAAAAAAACTCTTAAAAAACTATTTTTTAATGAATAAAATGTGAGCAGGAAAAAAGTAACAGGAAGCCCATAGAAAAGAGCACCAGTGTCGCAAGGCCTGCTCCATCCGTTTTCTGCCAATCCAACGAGATACCCAGCCATTTATTTGGACTAAGCATCAGATACCTCATGGCATTTAACAAATTTATACGCTACATCTATTTATTTTTATAAAATAGAAATAAAAATGAATTTCAAACAAAACAAATCAACTGTGCAATCTCAGCCGAAAGATGGTGATTAATCTGCTAAATAATCATTTATAATCAGCAACTATTTGCAATTTCATCACAGATTGCACAAAACTAAGATATTTAATAATTAAGAAAACTTTATGAAAAATTTGAAGAGAGATCAGATGGTAGTGCATGATCAAGGTAATCATCATCTGGAATACAGAAAATGTATATGGATTTGATGTCATCACGCCTCCCTTTTTAATTTAATTTTTTAAAAAAAATTAGTTTCTTTTCGAAGGAAAGATCGATGGGAAAGGGAATCAGATAATAAAGATAACAAAGCCAGTCATCACCGCCTGCTTCGATGAACAGATCTAAGACTGGGGCGGCATCAATTTATCATCACACTCCTAAATATTTGATAAAATCACACTAATAAAATCAAATCAATTGAGAACAACAAAAAAAATACTGAAAAATCTGGTAATAAAAACGACGAATGAGAGGAGGAAATTTTTTTTAACACTTTTTTTTTTTTTTGCAAATTTCGTAAAGGAGAGTTGGTAAGAGGGAGGAGGCGGAATTGAGGGGAAGAATGGGATGATAATTTCAGACGGAGGCGGCGGCGTTATTTATGGAAGAAGGCTAGGGTTTGTGAGACACGGTCAAGGGCAATCTCGTAAATTTGTAAAGATAACGTACTTTTCTCGGGCTATTAGCCCGATGGACATTTGAAGCAGCAGTCTTCTACCCGATCCGCTTTCCAAATGGATAGAATATGCTAGAACTACACCCAAATCTAAAGCGGGTCCAATGTAAAACCTTAACCCGACCCAGTTCTCATAGCTTTTTCATAAACCCCTACTGTTGTCTCGCGGTCTCCCTTCGCCCTCGCAACTGCTCATGCTGCGGGCGCCAAAGCCGCCCGCCACGTCAGCCCTAATCCCCTTCGTCCCTCGTCAGGTCATGCTCGACTCCAAATCCTCGACCTCAATCGACAGCAAACTCAAGAACAAAGAAATGGAGAAGGAGAACAAGAAGAAGAAGAAGGAATCGAGGGGCAGGGCGTCAGAAACCCTAGAAAATGGTTCAGGTGCGCCCGAAACCCTAGAAGTAGACGGCGATGGGGGCAGGAGAAAGGATCGGAAGTTGCTTCTCAGTTCGATTGCGGGCTTCCTCGAGAGCAGTGGGTTCCTCAGGACGCTGTCTGCGTTTCGGTCTGAGGCTGAGATCGAGGTACGATTGTCCTTTGATTTGCAAACTTATGAACTTTTATGGGCTTTTTAAAAAAACTATAGTGTTGTGTGACTTTTTGGTGCCTGGATTCGGGAATTGATGTGGTTATTGTTGCTTATATCCTCATTTTTAGTGGAAGCACATATTTTTGGTGATGTGTGTAAATCTAAGTTTTGAGTTGCATATAATTTCCGCTTAATTAGGCTGCAATGAAATCGTGATTTATAGTTTCCATTTCTTTCTTCTAAATAAATCGTTAATTTTAACTTTCATCAATGTCATTTTGTAGATTGTCTGTCTTAACTGCGATCACAAGTGTAGATTTACATTATCGTAGTAGAGATTATAATCAATTTAGGAGATTTTCTTCTTTTAGTTACTAAGTACTATGCGCCATCATCGTGTACTAGTTCTGCTAACGTTGACACTTTCTTTGTCTTTTTGGTTTTTTAGAGTGATGGTTCCGCAGCAGCTTCGATTAATCTTGAAGATCTATTTTTCAAGTTCTTGGAAACAAGGTATTGTTAATTACTTGGCTAGCTACATTTTCATTGAATTATACCTATAATTGTAATAGAGTCAATTCAAAAAGGAGAAAAACCGGGTTCTCCAATCTTTGCTGGCATCACTGCATCAAAAGAGATAATTGTTGTATGTATGATTTTTGTAATATCTATTTTAACAATTTATTTTCTTTTGCATATTGAAGCTTAATCTAGAAAATGATGGAAACATGATCAACAACTTGTGCAAATGCACACAAGTCTTAGTTGAACCCCTCAGATATCAATGCTTAGTCTAGATGAAAAATTGCCACTTTATGATGTTTTGATAGACAAAGAAGGATGAGCAATCCTTATTCTCAATAGTTAAGAATATAGCTCATAATTGGTTTATGAGTTCAATAGATTACCATTAGCACGTTGAAGAACTACACAGTACAGTTTCAATTCATTGTCTTACACCAATACATTTAAGATCTTGTTTATAAGAATTATGTTGCATTGTTCATCTTTTATCACTTGTTTTTCGATTGTCTGAGACGAGTTTAATGCAATCTAGATTTTCAGACACCAGCAGGAGCTATATAGATGTGCTGTCACTGGTAGGATTTCAAATTGATCATTTGAGATTAGTTGCTCTAGATCTGACCAACTTGTTTACAAGATAGCAAGCACTCAAGCATATTATTCTAAAATTGAAACTTAAGACATTCATGTTAGCTAGACGTTATAAAACTCTAAATAAGATGACAAGTAGCATTAACGGGATAAACTCATCAACATGTGTTCACTTGTGGTTTTTAGGCTCTTATTTGTTTTTAAGACATGCTCTTTTTCATTCTTCAAAGTGTTAGTCTAAAATTAAAATACATAAAGATTCACTGATCTTCTAATCAGTGTTGTAAATAGCGGCCAATAGCGGGGCTATAGCGGCTCGAATAGCGGTCGCGGCCCTTCAGCGCTACGCATAGGGGTTTCGCGGCTGGCTTAAGCGGGAAAATCCGCTATTCATTCAAATAGCGCGTAAAAGCGGATTTTAGCGGGTTAAAAGCAGGTTTTCGCGGTTAAAAGCGGATTTTCCCGGTTAAAAGCGGATTTTCGCGGTTAAAAGCGGATTTTTGTTGTTAAAAGCGGCTAAACCCAGTATCACACATATTATGATGCTATGTTTCTTGAATTTCTTCATAGTTTCATTCATACAACAAGCTTATTAATTGTTATTTATTGATAATACAAGAAAATTACAACTAATTGAATTTTTAGATTTTTTATGAATTTTCTTATTATTTAGGATATTTAAATATATTTAAATTTGACCGCTATTTGACTGTACGCTATTTGCCGCGATTTCGCCGCAATAGCCCTATATAGCCTTAGCGGTACTTCGTCGCGCCGCGCCGCGATCCGCTATCAGCAACCTTGCTTCTAATCAATAGTACTACTATAATAAGGACCTAGTGAGGGTAGGAAAAGTATGAAGGACATGGGAAAATTGTCCTTCATCTCACTAAAGACACGAGAATAATTTGGTCATTTCATACAAAACATTTTCCATTCCTTTTCTTTTCTCTTTCTTTAATTTTGGAACTTTCTAAAGCATATAATAGAGCTTGCTAATTAAATCTCTCTTACATTGTACATTATAAGAAGACATAAGTATGAAATAATAAAGTCCTTTTCCATGTAAATAAATTCAATAAAAACAACAATAAGAATTTCAATATATTCTAATGTAAATATTATTGAAAGTGTATACCTAAATACGTAGCTTAAAATAATTAAATATAATGACCTGAAGATGAAATATGAAAAAAGACTCTTCTTAATGACACAAGGAAAATTATGTTATCGCTCCAATTGAATTGTGTGTCATAGCCAATTCTGAATTATGTAAGATAAATTATCGCATATTTAATAAACAAATATAATAAAAAGATCTAAGAAATAATATGATACTTTAAGGTCATAAAGCGACCTTTTATATTAAAATTATTATAATTAGGTTTTATTGTCTGTTATACTTTGTTCACCTCTGCTGCTGTTCTTCTTTTTCTTTTTCTGTTCCTGAGACGAGAGAATAGAGAGGGGGGAGAGAGAGAAAGAGTTAGAGAGAGGATCTCCATCATCGGTGATTCATTTTTTATAAAGAAAACAAAACTTGTTCATTTTTTTCATCTGGCATCCTGTGCATGAATTCCGACGTCTAGGTCTTTAAAAGCACGGGCATCAGGAGTTCCTTCAGGAAAGAATTATGCACCTGTAACCTGTTATTTGAAGATAGGCTGACACCTATTTATTTATCTATCTCATAATCTCTCTGCAAATAAATTCATGGTGTACTTCATTCCTAATCTGACTGGACTAAAGATTGGAATTTATCTCTACTGTCTAATTTGACGTAGGCTCTAACTTTATTGCAAAAGTGATCTCAAACTATATTATAAGAACAATCCTAACTTAGATTTCCTATTTGTTATCTATTGACAGATACTGTGGCAAGGCCACTGGCCCACCAATTAATATTTTACTTTGTTTTTGTCAGTTTATAGTGTACTCCTCTCCAGGAAGTGAATTACAAATTTTGTCTATGATTTTTCTAGAATGTAGTATGGATCTGTATGACATCTTATCTTTGATAAATTCTTCACTTTTACAATTTTGCTTTGCGATATCAATTGACGTCTCATCCAAGAAATTGATAAAAATAGCTAAGAGAGATTAAAATAATGATGTTCTTTGGTTGTAACGGAACTCTTCTATTGCAGTACTCTTTCTCATGTCATTAATGTCTTTGATTTCTTATCATTCTGTGTTTAATTATACTAGGTCTTGCTCATAGATTATATTTTGCATCTTATTCTGATTTGTTCTGGCTTACAGTACCTTGCATGTTGAAATAAAAGATAAGAAAAAGAAAAAGAAAGAACCTCCTGCCTCTGTTGAAGAAAATGCAAACAAGAGTCATTTGGAAATCAGTCCTGAGATAGCCAAAGAGTGCGACACACATGATAAGGCAAAGAAAAGGAAGAAACACAAGATGAGCTCAGAGGATCATAACGAGAACACTGAAGCCAAGGATCACAAAGAAAAGTTTCAAGAAGATGTTGAAGAGAAAATAGCCGAACTGAAGTCTTTGCCCAACATGATCAATCTACCAGCAGAGACAAATGGAGAACATAAAAGTGAAAAGAAAAAGAAAAAGAAAACAAATTCAGTCACAGATTCTCTTTCTGTTAATGAGATCAAACAAACTACAGAAACCTCTAAAGAATCTGAATCTGTAAAGGAAAAGGACTCAATATCAGAAAACAATGGAAACATTGAGAAAAAAGTTCACAAGAAAAGAAAAAGACTGGATTCTGAAGAAAGAGCATTACATGATGAAAATAGCAAGAAAAGTGAAACTCCACAAAAGTTGGATAAGTCTTCACTAGAGAGTGAGGACACAAATGCTTGTAAAAAAAGGAAGAAAAAGAAAGGCAGTGAAAGCTCTGATGAAGCTGGCATAACATCTAATCAAGAACAAGATCCTAGCTGTCAGCATGAGGAGAAGGAATTGGGCACACGTCAATTGCCTAGTGGTGAATCTAAGAAAAATGAAGAAGAGAAGGGGACTGCAACAAAATCAAAGAAAAAGGAAAAACACTCAGCTGAGGTAAGAATAACTACTATTAATATAGCTCTTTGAGTTCTGCATCTTAATGTACCAAATATAGTACAATCAGCACTCTACACGTCTGTCTCACAAAATAGCTCCTTTTAATTAATTGATTAATTAATTAATTAATTTTTATTTTTACTAGTATAGTGTACGTGCAACGCACATGGCATACTTATTTTATATTCTAAATTTTTTCATGGGCAAGAAGGTAGTACGCTGGCTTGAAGGAAAAAGATAAAGAATTGTTTATAGAAAATTATTGGAAAGAAGTTTGAGTATTTTAGTACGTACATTTACAAATAAATGAGTATCAATGAATAAGGATAAATAATTTTTTGACTGATTCGTTGTTATTGACTTCGCTGAGCATGATATACATGTAGAACTAATCCATATTGAGAACAAAAGTAATGATAATTGTTGTAGTAATATATTATGTAAATAGATTATATATATGATGCAAAGCAAAATATGTGGATTTTGTAGTAGTTTATACATACCTAGTAACACATAGAAAATGTCTATTTCACTTTAAAAAATTTGTTCATCACAACCTGACCTATGGGTATAGGCATACAAATAGTATTTGATTTTGGACATACATAGATGTAACGAAACATGATAAACATTCAATTGGCAGTGGTAAACTAAAGAGAGAAACTATAGTTACACAGCTAAATAGTTAGGGTTATCTAGATATTAGTCCTGAAATTTTTAGTAGTTATATATCAGTCCCTCAAAACTTTGTAATTACTCGTAGGTCCATCCTGTCCTAAGGGTTCTTACAAAGAAGGAAGGACAAAAGTTTCACGGTAAAAAAATAATGTAATTGATTTTCTCTTAGTACGAGTGATGAAATCATATTATCATACATACGGTCCAAAAGAAAAGGAAAAAAAATTCCCAAAAAGATTCAATTTGGACTATTAGAAAGAAAAACCTCTGCTTAAACTACAAAAATGTGGATACCTGAATGTTGCTCCTCTTCTCATCCATATCGTTTGATTAGCCAAATCAGAACACTTCTTTCTATAGTTGCTCGGGGTCGGGGGTAGTTTTAGATGAGTAGTTTAATTAGCACTATTCTTTTTAAAGATGCAAGTTCACTAAATTTGAGGGTATATATGGAAGAAAAACTTTTTTAAATTTTAGCTACGACCTATTTGTTGTAATAACAAAGTAATTTAAAAAGGACACATAAGCAAAGAAGTTCTTGACTCACCATTCCAGAGCTTGAAGCACACAGCCAGAATTCCATCGTCTAGTATATCTATATGTAACTGAGAGAGCTTTTCTTAAGCATCAAACAACATTTTGGATCAATTGAATAAAAAATTCCAGTTTATATAATAGAACATACCTTTGTTTTGGTTCTCAATTCCTAATTCACAATTCCAACAAGCTCTTGATCTTGCAGGGCTCCTTATTGACTTTCGTATACTCTGACGTTGAGGTTGTTGGCTATCTGTAATAAATTAAAAAATGAAAAATATTTCTTTTTCTGACAATCAACCCAAATTGTTTTTTAGGTCTAATTTTAACCCCGTTATAAAGGTACGCACCCTTCTGTTCAATTATGACCATTCGCTAGCTTCTCCATTATCTTTCGTAAGCTCGCCGACAGCTAATCTTGTGATTTTGGTTGCAAATTTAAAACCTAGGATAAATTCAAAGGTAAAGTTGTAAGTTTTTATGCGAGATTTGATACATATTGATTATAAGAGATAATAAAATTGTGAAGAATGAGAGGTTGCAAGTGATTGCATTCGAGTGGCTCAAGCTTCAGTAGCAAATGACCCCAAACGGATGCTGAGAAATGGCTCAACTATCGTTGCTCAAAATCGAGCTAAACAAACATTGTGCGAGTCACCTATAATCCCTAGCACTCACCATGATCAAACTGATTTTAATTGAGAGAGAAAGATGCAACTACACCCTTGGAATTCCAAGCACTCTCCATTTTAATAGATTTTAATTAAGAAAACATAAATGCTACATCTCCACTTTTAAAATTAATTAACTCTCCATAATTTAATTAGCTGATTTTAATTGAGAGAGAAAGCCATAACTTAATCTTTGGAATTCAGAACAAGCAATTTGGTTTAATACATTACCCTCTATATTTTAGTGCACATAGTAAAGTTCTTTGGAATTCAGAACAAGCAATTTGGTTTAATACATTACCCTCTATATTTTAGTGCACATAGTAAAGTTTACAAGATGTTACAGGTTTAATACATTACCCTCTATATTTTAGTGCACATAGTAAAGTTTACAAGATGTTACATAATTGATTTGGAGGGGGTATGGTTTTGTGTAATTATTATTACATTTGATGATTTAATTAATTACATTGGGTTGCATATTAATTTGAGAGCAATATGGTGATTTGAGTGAAGTTTGAAGGATATTTTGGAAAATTAAAAGTTTTGACACTCATATTCTCTTTTATAAGTAGTATAGAAGTATAGTTTATATAATATATAACAAAAAAATTGATATATCAAAATAATTAAATATATTATTATTTAAAAATAATATGTAATAATTATAATATAATATAACACATTAAAGTACAATATATTATTCTAATACATCATGCAATATTATATTGTATTATATTTAATATTGTAATACTATAATAATGTAAAATAAATATTATAACATTTTATTTATAACATTTTAGTATAATTAATGTATAAAAGATTAATAATATGTTTAATATTAATGTTGTAACGGGTCAAGCTAGTGTTGACCAAAAACAATAATGTCATTTAAACCCCCCTACTTTTGGTGTTTACATAAAATCCACACAAGCTTTGACCTTTTTCAAAATACGCCTTACATGAAAAGGTTGGTGTTTAGGAAATTTACTAAACCGAAACTGAGAAAGTGGTGTTTATGTGGTTAGGGAGATGTTAAAAAAAGTTAAGAGTTTATGGGATTTTTGTGAAAACCCCAAAAGTTAGCGGGTGAGGTGAGGTGGGTTAAACCAAAATGAGTCGACGTTGGGAATTTGTGAAATTTACACCATAAAAGAGTACTAACATGACTGACTTTTCTGTAAACTTCATCCAATCCCTAATATAATAATATTCTATAATTGCAAAATAAAAAAGAATAAATAATCAAGACTGCAGAAATAACTCGGATTAAACCCACGTATACCTTCCATTAGCAGAGGAGACAAAAAATTCATCTTCAAGAACTTAAAACGATCCATTTCTTTACATAATTATTAAACCTAGCAACAACTTCAAAAATTTATCGAAACAAAAGAATAAATCATCAAGATTTTGTAAATAATCCTAATAAATTATATGATAGAATAAAAATTTAAATATAATTTATTCCTTCTGTCATTTTTTAACAAAAGGGTGCAATGTTTTACCTTAATAAAGCATCAATGGGAGCATAAGATTGGGTATTCATCAATTCAAGAATATTAATCATGATTTTGAGAATTTCACCTTTCCGCCCATTTGAGTTACAACAACCACAATGATCCCCAAAGTCGTTTATCACCCTCAGAGTATATACACTGACGCAAATTGGGAAAAACGCAGTTATCATCGTAAGTTTAAATAAAACAAGATTAAAATTTAAAAATCAAAGATGACCCTAGAAACAATTTATTGACGCAAACTGGAAAAATAGAACACAATTCTCATTATAATCATAAACCTACATAAAAGAAGATGAAAATTTAAATTATGTGATAGAATCATCAAATGTAAGTTGAAATGTCGGGATCTATATTTGAAAGAGTAAATGAGGTTTAAATGCAAGAATAGAAAAATAAAAGTGAAATTGAAAGTTTGAAAGTTATATTTGGAAGAGTAAATGGCAAGGTTATGTGAAATTAACCTTAAATGAGAGTTTAATGTGCATAGAAAAAATTAATTAAAGAGAATTTTGAAGGTTGGAAGTTATATTTGAAAGAGTAAATTATTTAATAATACTAATAATTTAATAAACAAAGATTACAGAAGAAGGGCAAAATAGGGAAAAAAAGGATAAAATTAGAATTAAGAAATTTGTAAAGGGCAAAATGGGTATGCAAAAGTTTTGACGTTTGTTTTCTCTTTTAGAAGTAGTATAGATTTTTATTTTGTTTCTTTATTGTGCAACCATCATAATCTGAATAACATGAAAATTTTAACTCCTAGTTTCTACTATATTGCTGACAAAGTAATATCCTTTCAAAAGGGTTGTGATCAAATTATATTTTGTATGACATGATTTTCAAAGTAAGAATTCCAGTTTGGGTATGGGTACGTGTTGGGTACGGGTATGGTTTTGTGATAGAAGTACCCGGGTAACATAGATGGTGGCCAACAAACTGGGCACTGCTTTAAAATATGCTTGAAACAGAACTAGACTTTACATTGAACAAATTCTTACTTTTTTTTGTTGAAAATATTTATAATGAAATTGTCAAATAATATAAAGATCATCCAAAGAAGTTAACCCAATAACTCAAAATTAACATAAGTTGCATACCAGAATGTAGAGGATGGTCATAACCATGTATATCATACATTTGTATATATTCAATGTACGGTGAAATTCGAGGTAAACGCCATGGCGCACCTAGAAACGATCTGAATGATATGAACAGTTGAGGATATGGTCCATCATTAATCCCTTGTCTGAACCAAAGGCAGTGTGAAAGCTCATGCTAAGCAAAAGAACAGTTTTAGATTCACGCAAAGCAAATGGAAAGTTGCTGCACTTTACAATAATTGCACAGTTCAATTAATATAACCAGCAGTCCAGCACACTGTTATATTGAAACGATGGAAGTATGGTTGGTTAAAGTACTGATAAAGAAGACCATTGTGAAAGTTGAGTGAGGGGTCATCTTAATAAGTCCTCTACTTGTTCAACCACAGCCCTAAAAGAATGAAAATATGGTTGAAGAGGGAGGAAGATAATAGAAGATAAGAGAAACTTGAAGAGGTGAGATGACAAGAAGAAAAAGTAAAAGGAACAGAATAGAAGAGAAGACGAGCTTGTAGAGGTGCGAATGTCATCAGCTATGTAGCACGGACACGGATCCGACACGGCCATCCGACACGCCGACACGAGGCAAATCCTAAAAAATACATAGGACACGTGTGTTCGACACGTGTGTCCGACACGGACACGACACGGCTTCATGTTATGCGTGTCCGTGCTTCATAGGACATAACAATTCCCTAAAAATAGGACCTAAGATACAACATTACGACATTATTATATATGTAGACTGATATTAAAGGAGAGTTCTTACATGCATGCATAGCCATCTCCATGCATCCAAGAGTGTAGTATGATAAAATTTTGATATTTCTCTCTCTCTTTATATATATATATATCTCTCTCTCTCTCTCTCTATATATATATATATATATATATATATATATATATAGAGAGAGAGAGAGAGAGAGAGAGAGAGAGAGAGAAAGAGAGAGAGAGAGATGTAGGAACTTTGTACTAAGCACAAATTTTGTCCTTAGTAGTAATGTGTCTCATTCTCATCCATTCTCCAACCTATGTGAATGTGATCCCCCATTTGAATGAGTGGATTGGAATTAACCACCTCACTGCCAAGCACAATTTGTGTTTGCAAGCACAATTTGTGTTTGGTACCAAGTTCTTCCATATTGCCCACACACACATGACTTTGCAAAAGGAATAAATATTGGGTTTTTCAGTGTGTTACATAATAGCTGGACATGTCTAAACTTATGACCATTTTTCCGCAACTCAATTTTTGGTAGCCCTTATTGATTGAATTATAGTTTTTTATGTTATTAGAATATAAAAATATAATCTTTAACTCCCACCATAACTTCAAAGTTTTGGTGTACTGGTTAGAGGGACTTTAAGATGGTATCGAAAGAACCCATGTTCACATACCGTCGGCCACACATTTAAAGCAGATTTTTTTAAAAAATTGATACCGCTGTGTGAGTCCAGGTTTCGGCCCATAACAAGGGCGCTCAACTTGCGAAGGCATGTTAGGATATAAAAATATTATCCTCAACTCTTGCCACAACTTTAGAGTTCTGGCGTTGGGTAGAGGGATTTTAAGAGATGTATATAAACAAAAAGAAAGTAAGTGTAGGATTACAATTAACAAATGTTCTAAACCTTTATATAATCAAGTATATGTTTGAGAAGTGCATGGTATATTTGAAAAGTGTCCCAACACAAATGTCGACCTCAAGATACAAGTACCTTTGCTACGTAGCATCTCCTCAACCAAGGCATCAAGAATAAGTTCACAACAGTTTCTCTGTATAGAACCCATACGTGAACCCAATAATCAAGTCCCAAGTAGAGATATCCTTCCATTGTGAAAACCACTATACTGCTCTGTTGAGGCTCCTGCTCATCTTCGCTGCAGTCATAACCTTAAAGGTTACTGTAAGAGTTGATGAAATTTTTCCCACCAATTTGCCTATTCTGATTTGACTTATCAATACTGCAAATCCACACGTTTTTCTGGAATTTGATTTCTTGATAATGGTTGGTGAATTTGTGTAGATAAAAGTTCTGAGTTCATTTGTCTGTGTTGCTATTATCGCAGCCGAAAACAGTCAATGCGTTTCAAAGAGTGAAGGTTGATGAGGTTAAATTTGCTGATGAGAGACTTCAAGATAATTCTTACTGGGCTCTGGTATCTGTTTGTTTCTTATTTTCTTGAAAATAATGATAATGACTATTATGCTTTTCCTATAGTATATAGGCCTCACTAATATCATACAACTTTTATATCTTGTTAACAGGATGACACAGGCAGTGGATATGGTGCGAAGGCACAAGAAGTTCTTGGTCAAGTTAGGGGAAGGTAATGCTCATAGACTGCTGTTATACTTCATGCTATTTACAATTGCTATCTTTTCTTGAACATACTAGTTGCACACGATAGTCCTGTGAGGAAACTGTTTTCCAGCAATATGGTTTTCTGACACGCACTCACAAAATATACTCTTCTTCTTGGAGTTGAACCTGAATTAGTTACATGCTTTTCTTATGCCATCTATAGAATCTAGCCATTTTGCTAGTTCTAACTGATTATTTATAGTGATTTTATTCTCAGAATTGGACCTGTTAACTATATGATCTCAGTGCCATCCTTGAGCGAATCTAGCCATAGGTTTCAGCCCCTTTTCCAATTGTTGAACAGGGTTCCTGTTCTTTCTTTTAGCTCTGTTAAAGGCCATTCCTCAGGCAAAATTGGATCTTTCTCTCTTTCTTATAGTCTCATCCAGGAATTCTGCGCTCTCTTTTTTTCTATTACCAACAGCAATTAATCACTTCCAACCAGCTCATCTGTCATCTAGTAGTTTTATTGTATATGTCAAACTGTCTCACATGGTTTTACCTCATTTTGTCCTCAATCAGTGCTCTCCCTCTCAAATTTTCCACGAGTTTCATTCTCATTCTTCCTTTTCGGCGCTTAGGTAGCACTACTCATTTCAGTTTGTCCCATCTTCAATCTTTAGGCATTTTTTCCTGCCCTGTTGCTGAAAAGTCTGGTCGACTAAATGTGGTTGGAAATATATTAGTCTAGTAGCAAATTACTTGTAAGTTTGTAACTTCATTGGTTTATGTGGTTATACCATCAGCACTTCTGCCTTTTAACTCTCTTGCTGCGTACTTAAGGAAATAATCCCATTTAGATACTTACCTGACCTTCAAGGGCCTTCTTCTGGTAGTCTTTTTAATATTTATCGAACGGCCAGCGGCCAGCAATGACTCGCCTTCTTTTTCCTTGGGATAATTGGTATAATCTATCGATTTACCTGGAAAATCAAGTAAAAGAACTGTTTCCCATGGTTAATTCTATGATCCACGCTGAGAAAAGGACTTACTCACGTTCTATGATATGGTATTTCTCTTACCTGTTTACTCACAAAATCAAATGGCAAGAGACTGAGTAGACAGAATATGTTTGTTTAATTTGAAGTTAAACTGGAAAGCTTTGACCTAAATCTAAAATTTCTGATTCGCGTTGAAATGCGGCTTGAATCCTTAGTACCTATAGTGTGCATCGAGTCTCAAATACCTTCTGCATTATGAATTTTTTATCTTGAAGCCACAGTATCTACATAGACTAAAATTCTCTCCTTTTGCATTATGAACTTTTAGCTGCAAAAATTTTAGTGTTGGAAATCTTTAGACCACGTCCATGTTTATGTGTATGGCCAACATTTTTCACTCTTGCTTTGCAGAGATTTTAGACATGAGAAGACCAAGAAGAAGAGGGGAACCTACAGGGGCGGGCAGATTGATTTACAATCACATTCCATAAAGTTCAATTACTCAGACGAGGAATGACGCGAGGCAACAAGCAATCTTCATCTGGGATTACAATGTACTTTGATCGACAGATCGATTAAAATTTTGAGCACCCTAGCGTTCAATTTGTATGTGTAACGGACACCCGTTATTTATTGTCTCATGCTCTTGCTTTTTGTGAACATCCAATTGAATTTATGGAACTTAGTTCTCTGTTTCTTTCGCCATAATGCAAATGATGGCGAGTTTCAATGGGAAAAGATTCACGTACCGTCTCTCTGGTAAAAGGAGTCATCTATTGTTTTTCCTTGCGAAGGTGATTACTAAATTCAATTTCGAAACTGATTTTGTCGAATAATAGAAAATGGAAACTAACAAAGAAAAATTGATGAAATTGCTTGGGAAGCCATTGTTACTTCTTGAGAAGCTTTAACCTTGTATAATGTCTTCAGAAAGTTTCCACNTTTTTTTTTTTTTTTTTTTTTTTGCTTCTCCTTTTGATGACGATGATGTATCCATGGCAGAGATGTCAAAACCCACCTCTTTGAAAGTGAATCTAGAGCTTCGACAATTTGTCGTAATGACGTTTTCTCCACCTTCAGCATTCACCACGGGACATGAATTCGTGTCTTATGATCTTGCAATTAAAGCATAAACAAGTTATATAACGTTCACGAGCCAAGATAGAGGGCTAATATACCAAATTGGTATAAAAAAAATCAATGGGAGAAGTTAAATGGGAACTTGGGTTGAAAATAATTAAAAAAAAGATACAGTAGTAGTTAACTTAAGAGAGGAGTTGATTCTTAATTGAATTGAATGAAAGAATAATTCATGTGACGGGCCTTAACAATTTCGATAAAGATTTTTTGTTGTTGTTATAGGCTAGTTTGTTACTTAGTTATGTGCTTACTTCATTACTAACACGGGTCACAATTAATCGTACTTGTTCTTATTCTTGCTCAAGACAAGTTATAACCAATTTAACGTACATTAAATAATATACTACTACGAAAGAGAACAATTTTTTTGGGTACCGTCTGACAAAGGATTAAGTGAGGGGTTAAGGAGACCTAATCCCTTATTAACCCGTCAAACACAAAAAATCTATACAATGGTTAAAGTGAGTTAACCCTCCATAATTTGCCAAACATAAAAAATATAAAAGTGTTAAGCTAACCCCTCTAGAGGGATTAAAATGAGTTAACCCCTCAAAATGAGGGGTTTACTAATACTCCTATTTAGAATGATTAAGAGTTAACTCTTCTAATTATAAAGAAAATAGTCAAAATCATTATTATTCCCAAACACTAAAACTGATCACAAGAACTAAAATAAAACTTATTTAACGGGTTAATAATTTAGTCATCCAGATTATCGAATGAGCTAAATACATTAATCCTTCTTTTTAACCCCTCTTCCATAACCCTTTGCCAAACAAGGCCTTAATGTTTAACCGGAAAAAGTCTAAAAAGCGGTTTTCTTTAACATCACTTAAAAAGGGGAAGAAAAAAGTAGATGTCTAAAATCATAAGTTCCCACTAACAACTTTCAAATGTTTGAAGCGGGGATATAATCGATCACTAGCATTAGTAGTCAACAATCTAATCATGCGCCAATCTTTTTTTTTTTCTCTCTCTCTCTATGAAACCAAAATGTGGACCCAAACACAAATCACTCTCAATCTCTTGAAAACTAATACCAACAACCATTTCTTTTGAATTCAAACCCACAGCTCCCTCCCATTTATGTTACAATGCAATTGAGTAGGGCTCGTCATCAATGAGAAAACGAAGTCACGTGACGTTCATTTCGCGTTTCACACTAATAATAATGAGGCTTGACTGCCGTATTCCAAAAGGACCTCACTAGATATGCTTCTATTGACCTGAGATGTAAAATTTTGTACAGAAATTAGTTTCTGTGCACTGAAAGGAATAAAAGGACGTACAATGTGTGGAAAATGAGTGGGCAATGGTGGTCCCAATTTCTTGCATTCTCGCTCTCAAAAAGAATCCAATCACGGAGCAAAAGGTTGAAAAGGAGCCTGACAAAATTGCATCAAAACTAATTGAATACGTCAAAAAAAGTTGAACTTACGATTAGGATTTGCTCTACGAGAGTTTGTTGGGAGGGATTTGTGGTCCTACTTCATGGAATTGAAGTGGTTGAACGCATTGATTTTTCCTGCTATCACGGAGGGGAGTGGTCAAAATGTTAATCACCTGGCTAAAGACTTTAAGGCACCGGTTTAGTTCTAGAGACAAAACTTCTTTAGTTCAAATGGCACACGAGAGTCCAAATTCTATTAGAACAACCTGTTGGAGATTGTGGTTAAATCTGTAATGAAACAGTGAAAGTTGATGTGCTGTAATTTTAAACTTTTTAAGTTAACTGCTGTGTGTTTGTGAAACGTTGTGCTTAAAACAATATTTGACCTACTCCGGTGCAAGGATCCCAAGGCCAAACTGTTTTCAGGAACAACAATATAGTATTCTGGTGTGCACCAACCCAGTACTGTCAATATCTCCTTGATCTATAAGACCTTTAGGTCAAGGCAAAGATCTCATCGGTCTCAGAACCTTTTGGTTCAAAACCTTTCGGTTTCAGGAAAAGTTCCTTTTAGCACAGTTTCTGCAGCAACAACACAACAGCTCAATATATTTCGTGTGTACAATAGCTCTCACGTTCGTGTCTCCAAGATCTGCCCCAAGAGGCGCTATTTATAGGCCTCTAAGGCCAGCTCAAGAGTCACCTACTATCAATGTGACTGTTATAAATCATAATGACAATTATGATCAGTCATAAATCATAATGACAATTATGATTATAACATTAATTGATTTAAATGTTGTTGTAACTGTTACATGCAGTAACGTCTGAAGGTGAGGCAATCAATGGATGCGTTACTTCGCAACGCGAGGGGCGCATCTCAGCAAATTAGACGAACATCATCAATAGGACGAACCTCGTCGAACGGGCGAACCTTGTCAAACGGGCGAACGTCAATAGGTCGAACCTCGTCGAATGAGCGAACCTCATCAAACAGGCGAACCTCGTCGAACAGATGAACCTTTTCAACCAAGTGACGAACCTCGTCAAATGCGCGAACCTCGTCGAACATGTGAACCTCATCAACCAATTGACGAACCTCGTCAAACGGGCGAAGCTCGTCGAAAAGGTGAACCTCATCAACCAATTGACGAACATCGTCAAACGTCAACCAATTGATGAACCTCGTCAAATAGAGGAGCGTTGTCTGATCTCGAGAACGCTAGGGTCACACCCTCGTGTGAATGCATAGCTCGTCTGCATGCTACGAATCAGCCTACGAGGTATCATTCATGGCAGCCAATGTGACGCCAAAGGGCACCACCTAGCCCTGATGCCTCTGTGCGAAGTGCAAAGTATGCCTAACAAAGCGCCAGTTAGCGTCTCAGCCCGATTAGCCCCGATCCCCGGCCCATTGGCCCACGACCCATGACCCACGGCCCACAACCCACTAGAACTTATGAGGGATTAATTAAAACAAAATACTTATCAGCTTGTCGTTAGCAAGCCTCGAAAAGAGGATATTTTGAAACACCAAAACTTTAACTTTTTACTAGACTACTAAGCATTTATGAAAAGTATTAGTAGTTAATATAAATATAGTTTGAAAACTCATTTTGGAAAGCGGCTTTGATAAAAAAATCCAACAATCCCCTACAAGTTTTTAAACTAGTGTCGTGTTATGGTGTCGTTGTTTCAATTATTGTGTATAAGGTAGATGTCGTGAGGACTTGAATTCCTCTTAGACCAACTAAATAAAAGATAGGTGCATGATGTCGTAGAGACTTGAACCAGCACATATCTAAAAATCCAACGATCACACAAGATCAAACTCTTTTGTGATAGTTTTCACTTTGAACAACACTAGCATTTGCCTTTGCTTTGCACATTTATGATCTTGTGCATGTCCTGGTTTCTGCTAGAGCTCTAGGTATCTTTTCACAAGACCCCATAGGAGACGACCAAATCTCCACCCATGCATAGGTGAGTTTTTTAGGTATGTTTCCTACCAAACATCCCGCATCCGAGATGTTTTGAACTCATTAAGGCTTAAGATCCATCCTCTCTCATGATAGGATTCTAGGTGAGTCCTTTAGGCGTGTTTTTTATCTAACACCTCGTATCTAAAATACTTTGGACTCATTAAGGTATAACAGCCAACCCCTTTACATGATAGGATCATCGGTGAGTCCTTTAGACATGTTACCTATCCAACAGCCCGCATCCGAAATGCTTTGGACTCATTAAGGCTTAACAACCATCCTCTTTAACATGATAGGATTTCAGTTACAAATCTTACTTGACTTTTAAACTAATTATTTTATCATTAATAGCGTAAGCTTTGAACTAATGACTTGATGTAAATGATAAGTATTTGTAAGACTCACCAAATTTTTACAAATCTTACTCGACTTTTGAACCAATCATCTTATCATTAGTAGCATAAACTTTAAACTAATGACTTGATGTAAATGGTAAGTATTTGTAAGACTCACAAAACTTTGAGACACATTCCAACAAACATCCTTTCGACTATGTCCTTTTTCAAACCTTTAGTCAAAGGACTAGCCACATTCTTTGAAGACCGGACGTTAATCACACAGATGACTCTTAGCAAATGAGTTCTCTCAAATAGCCATGCTTCAGACGAATGATCCGCTTCTTTTCATTGAACATCGAGTTCGCTGCCACATCACTCACCGCATGATTATCACAATAGATAGTAATTATGTCTTGCAATTCTATCAATGGAAGGTCTCGAAGAAAACAAATGAGCCACTCAGTTTCATCTCCTATAGCACAGAGTGCGAACTCAGATTCCATCGATGACTATACAATTATAGTTTGCTTCTTAGACTTCCACGAGATGACAGCTCTACCCATGGTGAAGACAAAACCTCTAGTAGATCTGTACTCACTGGTTCTGAGCATCAGCTCATATCTGAATAACCTTCGATTACAACCGGATATCCAGTGTAGAATAAGCCTAGACCTATAGTTCCTTTCAAGTATCTCGTCAATCTCTGGACATCATCCCAATGAAACTTTTTAGGATTACTTGTGAACCTACTAAGCATTCCTACAGCGAATGCTATGTCTGGTCTCGTGTAGCTCATCGCATACATAAGACTACCACTGATCTTTGAATATCATTATTGTGAACAACCCCATCGAACTTCTCATGCCAGAGTTTTGATGTCTGCTTAAGTCCATACAGAGACTTAACAAGTTTACA